TTTTAAACACACAACAGCATACAAGAAACAGAAATCTTCTGTTATTTAACATAAAGCACTGAAAAAAATACGATCTGTAATTTATCATCCTGGGGGTTTAATAAAGGAAAACAATTTAACTCAGAAAAAATTTGAGAGGCCACGGAGGGTAAAGATTCAAAATGCCGAAAGGTAAATGAAGGGAGGTCCAGAGAGGGAACAGCCCCAGGTAAGGTCCCCATCCCCATCGTAGGCAGCTCACAGACTCCCCCCACGCAGAGTGCTTCCGCCTGGAGAGGAAAGGAAAGGAGGAGGGGCAGCTGGAGAGAGAAGGGCACCCACAAAAATCACAAGATGCCCCTAACCTCAGCGGCAAGAATCTCTCATTTCCCTAAGTTAGAAGTTAATGCCCCCACGTGTTTCTCTGGCAGCCAGTGGAGAAAAGGGGTGCGTACTCCTTGGAGAAGACCGGCTTAGCTGTTTTGAAGAGTTGAAAAATGACACAAACTTCTAAGGCCCAGATGACAGGCCCACTGCCATTTCTCCAGTACAGGAGGCAGGCAAGTCAAGGGAATTACCTGCTCAGAAAAGGTGAGAAAAAGGAACTACCACCAGCCTCACATCCTTTCCCGGGTCACTCCAGTGACGCACAGCTTGAAACAAACTCCTTCACACTATTCTTAAGCAAAAATATTGCAAATGTAAATGGGGGAAATGAAGTTCTCCGAAGAGAAGGGAAGGGTAACAGGAAGAGAGACTGCCTCCCAAGGCAGAGAGGAGGAAAGACAGCTAGCAGGTGGGAGACTCCAAATTCAAACAGATACCTCAAAAGGAATCCTGTCTCATAGCGATTGTATTTAACTCCCAAGATTCTAAGACTCTTTCTATCCTTCACTTATGCAGTTTTATTCTTATAAGCTTTTTCTACGATATTAAATTGCCAGGGACTACTTTTTGGGTGCCTCTTATTTAAGAAAGCGCCTGGGGAGAAGGTTTTCTCGGGAGACAAAGATGGCAGAAATGTGAGATGAGAGCCACCTAAGTGAATTTATCTAGCTTCCAAGAAAGGCAATTTAGTGGTGTCCTAAAATGTAATGAATTCATTTATATGAAATGAACAATTATATGCTGACAATTTCCCTTGCTTTTAAGGGTAAAAAAATTAAACTTATAGCTGAAAGGCTTGAAGGTTATCAAAAGGGGTACAGATTTTAGTAATCTAAAATTAGAATTTTTGTGACACTGAATTTAGTTTTCGGTCACCGGTTATTCAGGTCTAAGTCATGTAAGTTAACTAGTACATTCAGCATTCAACACAGTAAATGTTAACTATTCTTCCCCTTAATTTGAAAAGGATAACAGAAATGGGGCACAGGTAAAGAACTAGCAAAAAAAGATTCTGGGAGGTAGTGACAGTTACCAACAGGGCACATATACCCCTGAATTTTCAATGACGACCGGCAGGATTAGACATTAGCCCTCAGTCTCCTACCAGAGACACATCTACTTAATGTTTCCTGTGAAGAAAAGACTCTTTCCTGATTATGAATGAGGTTTTGCAGAAACAACTTAATCTGAAACTCTGTACTGAGAGACTCTTTGATAATGAAGATTATTTTTTTTTTCAGAGTGTCCTCCATCTCGTTTTCTGAGCTACCTAAAACTAAAGGGTGGTGATTCTAAATATTCCCCTTTTAGTCAAAACCAAAGAAAAAGAGAAAGAAGGAATCCTTGAGAAGCCGCTGTATGCTAGGAACCCTGCTCAGCCTTTTCTTTGCACTTTCATTTCATCCATACCCTGTGAAGTAAACAGTATCCCCCTATTAGCAGATGGGAAATACTGAGAGGGGAAAAAAAACCTTCCTAGGGTCACCAGTTATTTAGTGGTACAGAAACGATTAAAATTCAAATCTGATTTGAAAGGCTATGATTATTCTCCCAGTATATCCAACTGTAATTGTTAGGAGCTACTTAAAAAATTTTAATGATTACTATCTCAATCTGCTATCTAACCTATAGACTAAATTTACTTTCTCTCTTCAATAGTCACACACTCAAAGTTTGTTTCTTTAAATAGTCATAATCATATCAGGTTCCAGGGAAACCAGCAATCAATTAAAAAGCAAACAAATGAGGAGGATTTCTCCAATCTCATCTGGTACAATTGACTTTTGAACCAAAAACGAAAACTGATACTCATTTGGTCAATCACTGTAAGTGGCAAGACTTTTCAGAATCTCAGGACTGCCATTCAAAAGAGTAACTACTCTGAAGTTTATGCTATCCACAAATGTAATGCTGTACTGGTAAAGCAATAATTAGACAAAGAGGACAGGCTTAGTGCTACCCTGGGAACCTAGCAGTCGTCACTGGGGAATCTTCTCCATGCTGGTCCAACCTACGAGTAGCTTCAAAGGCTCCTGTTTATTATTTACCTCAAATTTTGCTTTCTTGTCCACAGGATATGACACACTTTTCCAAATGTTTCAATAAAGTCCAAACACTGATCAGTTTGGTAACCTTACGCAAAAATGAAATTAGCAGGTTAGTATTGTAATGCTTGCTTGCTCTGTTCTGCTCCATGTGGTTGCCCATGAAGTTGCTGTGATGGTCTTTTTGCTGTAAACTCGCCTAGGTTAATGGCTGTAGTGTGGATCTGGGTGTGGCTATAGTGATATTTTGTAGGTGTGATTAAAGTCCACAATCAGCTGACTTGAGATAATCTGGGTTAGCCTGACTCAATCAGTTGAAAGGCCATAGGAGCAGAGCTGAGGCTTCCCCAGTTTGTCTGTCCTGGTGCCCTGCTCTGTAAATTTCAGACTTGACTACATGGCCTCCACAATCCTGTAAGCTAATTCTTTGTAATAAATGTCTACACATCTCCGATTCGTTCTGCTTCTTTGATTAAGCCCTGATCGATACATTCATAAACCTCACAGACAGAAAATATCCAGAAATAATTTTGATAAGAAACGTGTGACTCCTACATGACTCCAAGAGATAATGTCTCATATAAATTTAGGTTTATGCACAGTCCTCACAGCTGGACTTACTTCAAATCATCAATTGCGCAATAATCTTACAATGCTCTGGGAGACTTAAGAAAAAAGAGAACAATTTGGAAAATAATCATTGCTGATGTTTCCCGGGTTCTTGCTAAGTACTGGCCTCTTCATTTAGGCTGCACAAAAACCACCCCAGAAAGCAGAGAAGACAACTCTCTAGTAACTTAAGAGAAGATAAAGGTGGAAGGCAGGCCAGGATGTGACTTGTTTTCTAAGTAGGTCTTAAGACATGAATGCACCACAGCCATTAAGGGTTTCTTACATACATGTCCCTTTTTTCTTCTTCATCTTCATTCCTGGCGGGACTGCCTAGAATTTAGTTTTTGAGAGCCTAGTGCACCTCTGCTCTACCTTCCTTTTGGAAGTCCCCATCCTTCCTTTTGCACCCTTCTCTAACACCTCAGTAACACTGCAATGACAAAGTGGGGCAGGGACAGACAAGGACCAAGAGGTTCGGGAGCAGATACAGTTTCCCTGAGTTTGGCGAGCACTTGTGAGTTCCATTCAAAGTCTTACTATCTCTTATTAACATGGACATACCAATGGTGGTTCAGTGTATGAATATTAGATTCATATTAGAATCTTCTTCTCTGTACTTGGGGTAAATTAAGCAATTTGCATGTTCTTAATTTGTTAACTTATATCTTTTAAAAACACAACCCAGGATAATAATTTAAATATAGAACAAAATTATAAACAGAAAATAAAAACAGAACTCCCTTAATGACGAACCCTATAATTAGAATTTTTAATACAAGGAAGAAAGGTAAGATCTTTCCCACCACCTCAGAATCACACAGGAACACGCGTATAGGACAGTGGCACCATGACGTCTGCTGCCACTGCCTTTCAGTTCAATCTTAAAAGGTTTGCTCTGTTCTATGGAGACCCAGACATGCAACTTAAGTCTAGGGTGGTGGTTTGTTCCTCTCAGAGGACATGAACATTGGTTTGGTTGATACTGGTTTCTTGCGACCAAAATGGGTTTAATCTATTTCTTTTTAATAGAAAAAAAGTAAGGTTTTATTAAATGGATATATTTACAGTATAATGAAAGTTGCTGACCTCATGCATGTGTGTGAATGGTGCTCTATAGTATCTAAAAGTGTTAGGATGTGATCTTGCAGAGAATATTAAAAGTGATATAATGCCTAATTAGATCTAAATATTTTCCTATCACAATACCAGTTAATGCTAATAATGAGGTAAACAAATTTTTACAGAAATGCACTCTCTGTAGTATATTTGAACATGTGAAAATCTAAGATAGATGCATTTTACATTAACTAGAACATGGTGTTAACAGTTTAGTTTTCTTATTTGGGTGCCAATGTGTCTGACAGAAGGTCTGGGTCTGAGAACTTTCAGTGTCGTCAAATGTGTAGGTGTGAAGTTTTAATGCTTGGTAATAGTGCTGGTCCGACAGAGACGTGAGAAGGGCAGGACATTTAACACGAGCCATCTGCGGAGCTCGCGGCTGGCTGGTTCTGTGCTTGCCCTTACGATACGTGAGGATTCAGAAAGCAAAAGCAAGTTGTTCCTTTGCACGTGACTCAGCTCTGAGGAGCAACTGTACTCACTACCCGTCAGCCTAATAAATTCTCACTGGTCTAATAACCCTTGCCTGTGACAATCTGTCCCATTAGAACTAAATAATTATGATACTTTACAGACTACAGGGCCTGAACACTCTTCATCTGCAATACTCACAGAATATTTCACTCATGGGCAGAAAATATGGCTAATTCCAGTCTACAGGAAGAATGTTAATGCCAATAGTTTCATTCAATTTTTCCTCATTTTATGGAAAAATACTGAAAGAAAAATAATTGTATTAACTGATATGATGTGGTAGAATGGAAGAAGGTTTCTTGGAAAATCAATTAGAAGACCAAAATAATTATTTTTTAATGGACTTTCTCGTAATAATTACCAGCATCTAAAGGAATAACTTACCAGTGATGCCATTGGGTTCCTGCTGTAGGTCACAGTACCAGAGTCTGTTTACGGGATCACATCCCTCCCTTATTGATAACAAGACATAGCGGCCATCATCAGATAACTGTGAAGGAAACAGAAACAGGGCAGGGCGCTAATCAGAGTATGTGTATTTTTGTAAGAGCATTGTTAAATATTAAGTAAAAAATCAAGGTTAACTTTCAAATGAGTGTCTTTTCCCCAAACTTATGATCAAAGGTGAATATTTTTAACTTGTTACACTCTTAATTGCAGTTTAACAGTGAATTATTTAAGAAGAAAATATTGGTAGACATTATTGAATATCATAATGACTTCAACACAATTTTTATTTAAATTTCTAATCTAGTCTTATTGAAATTCGGTCATTTTGAATATAACATCCTCAACTTCAAGGTTTCTTCATGGGTTACATAATTTCAAAGTTGTTCTAAATTAGAATTAGCAAAATCGGTATAGATCCAAGAAAGTCACTGTAGGTCACACTAGTCATGTTAACAAGTTTCTACTGAACCACATTTTATGTTTTATCTTTAGTCACTTCTACTATAAGACTGCAGAGATGAAAGGTCTGGGCTTCCTGGGAATTTCTTTTGTAGTACAAAACAGCAGAATCTTAGGTTACAAAAAAAGTCAAGATGAAAAATCCAATACCATCCATTTTGTCAACTCAACTCCTTCTGCAACTCATTTCTTCATTCAATATTATTTTTACAATTAATCCACATTGGTACATGTAAATATGCTTCATTTTAACTGCTGTATGGTATTATAATCTAAGAATATAACACAATTAATTGCTCCCTCTTCCTACCAATAAACTCCTGGATCAATTCCATTTTCTTTAGACCTTCCATTTGATCCATCAATCCCCCTACTGGGTATCTACCCAAAGGAAAAGAAATCATTGTAACAAAAAAATAACTACACTTGTGTGTTTATCACAGCACTATTCATATAACAGCAAAGATATGGAATCAACAATTTAAGTATCAGTGGATGACTAGATAAAGAAAATGTTAAATATGTGTGCGTGTGTGTGTGTATACATAAACATGTGTGCACACACACATACACACACGCTGGAATATTATTCAGCCATGAGAAAGAATAAAATCATGCCTTTTGCAGCAACATGCATGAAACTGGAAGCCATTATCTTAAGTTAAACAACTCAGACCCAGAAAGACAAATACAGCATTTTCTCACTTATAAGCGGAACATAAATAATGTATACACATGTACATAGAGTGTGCAATGACAGAAAATGGAAACTCAGAATGCTGAGGTTATGAGAGTAGGGTGGAAGATGAGAAATTACTTAATGGGTACAATGTATGATTATTTAGGTGACAGGTACACTAACAGCACTTATATCAATATGCGTTATATTTACGCAAAAAATTACACTTGTAATCCATAAATTTATACGCATAAAAGCAAAGAAAAAAATATTATTTCCAATTTTTTAAAACTAGTACAAACAATCATTTAGAAAACTTTGTGAACATATCTGTGACCTAAAATGCTTCCCTGGTCATGTAACTAGAAGCAAAATTGCTCAATGACAGGATGTGTACATATTTCAACTTTATTAGATGTTGCCACATCATTCTCCAAAGTGATACTCTCAGCTGGTAGTAGAGTATATGACAGTTCCTGTTTTTCCACATTCTTATTATGAGTTTTACATGACAACTTGTCTAGAATACAGTGCCTAGATATTTGGTCAAGCATTATTCTAGATATTTCTGTGAAGGTTATCTTTAAGATAAGATTATATTTAAATAAAGAGAACTGGAGTAAAGCAGGTTACTTTTCATAATGTGGGTGGGGCGCATCATCTCACTTGAAGGCCTTAAGAGAACAAAGATTGACCTCTTCTGAGTAAGAAGGGGTTCAGGTAGTGGAGACCCTGACTTAACTGCAGTCTTCCCCAAGCAGACAGACGGCTGGCCTACCCTGCAGACTTTGGGCTTGCCAAGCCTCCACAATCATGGGGGCCACTACCTTAAAATCCTCCCTACATGCACATATACACACACCTCTGTTGGTTCTTCTTCTCTGGAGAACTCTACCTAATACACTTAAGAACAACTGTTATTCTTTGCTCATTCAGTAAGCACTTGCTAAGCAGCTATTATGTGTGTAACATCTTTCTATGTGTTAAAGATACATCAGTAAGTCAATCAGGAAAAAATGTTACATCTAGTAAGGGAGACAGACACATAAATGTGCAGTTATGCGGTATATTATAAAGTAATAAATGCCACGGAGAACGTGAACAGGTCTGCGTAAGGGAAACAGGTTGGGGGGGCCCAGAGTATTAAATAGGGCTAAGGCTCCTGGAGAAGGTACCTGGCCATTGCGTTCTGACTTGCACTGTTTCAGACAGGAAGTCGTTACTTCTGATCTTTGTTTCCCTACATAGAATATGTAGTTTTCTTCTCTGGCTGCTTTTGATATTTTCTTGCTGTCTTTGGTATTCTGAAAATTCACTGTGTTGCAATTCTAAGGGGCTGTGCTATAGTAGCCAGCTTGAGATTTGGAGAGCTTCTTGGATATGTGGCTTTGGTATATTGTACCGTATTTGTAATATTTTTGGCCATTTTTCCCATCTGTGTATTTCTCTGTGCTCTTCCTCTTATGCTAGGACTTCAGATTCAGTACTGATATTGTCTCCCAGGTCAATGAGACTGCATTTATTTGTGTTTCAGTTTTAATTGTCCTGTCTTCAAACTCACTGACATTTTCTTTTGTCTTAAAAAATAAAATAAAATGCTGTTACGTCCTTGCAGAGAATCTTTCATTTCAGAGTTTATTATGTATCTAGAAGAACAGGTGGTTCATTTTTATATTTTCTCTGTCTTTGGCCATTACATTAACATTTCCTAAAAATCTTTAAAAATTGTTTTTATAATAGCTTTTTATCAATTATTGTATGTTAACTCTACAATTATTTCTGGATCTGTTTCTACTGGATAACTTTCCTCTTAGTTGTAAATCACAGTTTTTTTTTTTTTTTTGACATGTCTGACAATTTTTTATTTAGACTCTGGGCTTTCGAGTGTTGTGGGATTTATTTTTTTCTGGCCTGCTTGTAAAATGTCTGAGGCAGTTAATTTGTGGTAGATCATCTTGATCCATTAGACTTGTTTTCAGGCTTTGTTGGGTAGGTCTGCAACTCCACTCCTGGGGCCTGGCCTCTCTGCGGTCTCCATGGAAGAGTCTGTGTGTTCACTGGGCATTTCCACTCTGGTCAGGATGTGAAAGTCCCCCAGCCTTCTTTAATCTTTGGTAGTTGCCAGTTTATACAGCTCCCTGACAGCTGTTCTTGGCTTGAATCTGCACAAGTGAATCTTATTCACTTGTGCAGATCACTTACTAGTGAGCCCAAATAGAAGAGGATCCCCAGGCAGATTTCTGAGACTTTGGTAGGTAGTGCACTCCTTTTGGTATTCTGCCCTGCAACTTCCCATGGATTCAGTCTCCCTGTATTCCAACCTTTGGATCTTTAGTCCAGTGGGAATGTAATACTTTTTGTTCCTCCTCTTGCCCCAGAGTCCAAAAAATACCTCCAGACAGAAGGGTGGAGCACCTGTTGGGCTCACCTCGCTCGTGGATCAGCCCTGTTGCTGGTGTTGCTTCTGCAGTCTTAAGTTGGAATGTTTTATTCACTTTTGCTTTTTCCTTTCCTCTTCTTCGTAGTGTACGTGTTATTCTTTGATCTGGGAGTTATATTCTGTTTTCCTTAAGAATATACATGGCTCTTAAACCAATGTTCAGAATTTTAGTTCAACCTTCTTTTCAAACCATCCTGTATTAAGAATATCACCAGCAACCTCATAATTATAATTTTATTAAATATAATTGAAAGTGGCCTCATTAGCAAGACTTCATACTTTTGTTTGCATGTCCCTTAAATAGAGACAGAAATCTTCATAGCTTAGTCCTTAAAGTTGTGCTGCATCAATCATAAGTGATGGCTAATTCAGACACAGTGAAATCCTCAAGAGAAAGAGAGGGCAGTAAAATTCACTGCAAGATCCACACCAAACCTCAGTGACAGCTGCCTCAAGCACATCTAGTGAGTTTTTTCTTAGCGTTTCTGGCTGGACTAAACAGACGTAACAGTTTATATTTAATCTGAGGCAGGAAGTCCCAAAGTACACTGCTGTTATGCCAATTAAGTCATTCTTTCCCACTCTAACTTATCACAATCTGGAGATGTTTCATAGCCACTAACATTTGCTTAACTGGAAACAACTCTGAATTTTCAAATGCTCAAGGTCTCAAACCTCACAATCAACAAAATAAAACAGTAGGAATTCCAGTTCACAAAACCTGTTGGCTTTTTGTTAAGCAATATGACATCAGCTGGAATAATGGTGCTCTCTGAAATCAATTACTCTAATTCAAAAACAGTGACTTTTTGCAACAGAGGTGCAATACTATTAACCCGACCAATTATGAAATAGGTAATTCCTAAATCTGTGCTTTTCACAGATGCCTTCTATTTTATGTCTATATTAAACAAAATTTCCTTGATTTCATGAAATCTACAATTTATGTAAATGAAACATTAACAAAAACAAAATTTTAAGAATTATCACAAATGAAACATTTATCTTTGCTGCTATTAAATCCAGTACTTGCATTCCTAACAAGTATTAATCAAAGCTAAAACTCTACCATTCTTGTTACTGTCAATTTCAAATATGGAAGTTACTTTCACAATCTAATTCTGAAAGTCATTTGTTGGATTTCATTTAGAGTACTGATTAAATATAATTAGAAAATAGAAAAAAAAGAATATACTAACATCTGTATTGATGAAAGTATCTAGACAGAGGGAAATCTACATGAATTAAGAGAATATAGTGTCCTACAAATGGACTAATTAAAATTTGGTAATTCAGTGGTACTTAGCTTTTTATTTCCTATAACACACACTTTGTGGAGATTACAAAAAAAAAAAAAAAAAAAAAGGCAAAAGCCACACCCCTGATAGGTGGCAGAAAGGCGAGTCTCCAGAAAGGAAGAGAATGCTCCCATCTAAGCTTTAGGGAGTAATTCTGTCTTGTT